CCGGCGCTTCATATTTTAAATATTTATTAATAACTTAATTTTAAAATTTTCATTTTACCATCCATGGAATAATTTCAACTCAAAAAAAAATTCTTTTTTCTCAATCTATGTGTCTAATCAAACACCATAAATTGAAACTAAAGAAATAATGTAGGTGCAACTAAAAAGAGGAAATAATAAAATCATTCGATTAATTGAAACAATTTAAAGTATGTCGTGTTTCTATTTTTCTTTCTTTCTTTGATTACACAACCTTAAAAGAAAAAGAAAAAAACAGAGGAGAGGGATTTAACTGAACAAATGGAATAACAAACACGATTTATGAATTAGGGGTGTGCAAAAATCAATTTAACCGATAAATCAAATTAAAAAAAATGTCATTGATTTATCGATATCGGCTTATTGGGCTAATGATTTTTAAACGGTTTTGTAAATTTTTATTGTGCTATCAATTTTAAAAATTTAACTAATGGTTAAATCGATAACCCAAAAAGATTACACACTAATATTATCTTTTTATTCCTAATTATAAAATAGAGACTATAGATTTTAAGTACAAACCTTATTTTCTTTTGCATTTTATAGTTATTTATCTTGATACCGCTATTTTCTTTTTGAAGTAGTGGCTTGGTAGGACTCTACCCATAGTGTGAATTCATCTGTTTTTTTTTTCTGGAGAGATTGCTATCGTGCTAGTGCACCCAAATTTGCTATTTAACTAGAAAGAAAATAAATTTGTTTTAATTTATTTTTAATTGTAATTTGCGTAAACTTTTATGTATGAAAGTAGTGTATATATGAACAAATGAAAACAAGAGAATAACAAAAAAAAGAAAAAATTTAGATCAATTTTTTATTGATAAAAACAATAACCAATATCTTATTAGTTTGCTTATCGGTTTAGCATATTTGTAAATAGATAATCGATAAACTGAACCTATGATATACATAACCGGACCAAACTAAACATTTGGATCTTTTCTTTCAAGAGAAGGAGCAAGTACAGAGCTAGGTCCCAACATAACGGGAGGCGAAGAAGACCTTAAATCGCATTTCACAAACACAATATATAAATCGTATTCGAAAAGCACAATTGGTAAATTGCATTTCACAAATACAATTTATAATCACATTTACCACAAACTATTTATTAATAGCCTTTATTGGTTTGATTCTTGTTCACCTTTTTTTTTTCTTCTTATTTTTCCTATTCAGTTTGTCAATTACTATGTTCTTTTAGTCTTGAATCCCTAATCTGTGCTTCGAGCATAATTTTGTTGAAGAGGAAAGTATTTGATTTGTGATCTATAATTTGATAGCTGCGATCTATATACCTTTGCTTTGATTTGCTGCATTTGGGCCTGGGTGTTTTTCGGAAAGGTAAAGGTAAGATCTTTATACACTTTTCGAACCTTATTTATGGGATTACAGTGTGTTGATGTTATTGTTGTTGATCCATATAAGCCCCTGTTTGTGCGGTATTTTAAATTCAATCTCGAATTTTTCTCTTTCCTGTCAACTTTTCTTCATTGCAGTAGAGTAGACTTATGATTAGCCATGTTTGATTTGTATTGAGATTTGGGAATTGGAGCTTACAGCTCTACTTGCTGTTGAGAAATGGAGTTAGGTGATCACTGTACGGGTAAAATTTTTATGGGAAGAAGGAATTGGGGGAAGATGAAGATGGTTGGTCTTTCTTTTTTACCCGTGAAATCTGAAGTAGGGTTAGGGTGTGTTTGGTAAGTAGTCTAGGCAAATACCATGTG